GGCTGAGGTAAAGAATATAGAAGGATAATGTAAACAAAATCACAAGAACCTCAAACAGAGGTTAAAAGAATTGTCTGTACGTTAGTCTGGGTTTTATATGCTGTCGTTTCTGTGAAGTGTTTGTATTTGTGGGGGGGGGAAATCTGGGATAGCCTTTTTTGAACTGTTTTTGCTGTAGTATTGTAATAGGATGAGTTTATTTCTTCATGTTGTGCTTTTTAAAAACCTCTGAAGAAAACAAACACCCAACAATTACAGCATTAAACAGACAACACGCATATTGTAGGACTTTAAGGTCATATTATATAGGTATAGAAATAAATAGAAATAATCGTTTTTGTATTGATATAATATTCATTTATTATTAATTTAAATAATATGGTCACTTCCGGGCAAGAACGCTAATGCAGTCTAGACATTAAATTTCAGAGGAAGGACAGTGAATACTGTAGTTCAGCACCAGGAGGCACTACAAGTAAAAGAATCATCTCTCTAAACTCCACAACCAGTTGAAAAAAAGTTACAATTTTGCATGACTAATAGGTATCGACAGACTAAATGTTAAATTATCTTAAAATGTCAGCCTGTTAGCCTGGCTAACGTCAGACCACGTCTCATTGACATTGTGTGTTAGTGGTGTGTTAGGGTTTGGAATGTACGGATCCCCTAAAGCAGGGGTTTGTATGTGGCCGTGACGTCTTAGGCTGAGACTAGGCCAAGGGTGCCCAATCCTGTTCCTGGAGATCTACCTACCTGAAAAGTTCAGCTCCACCCCTGCTCAAACTCAACTGAACCAGCTAGTTAAGATCTTCAAGAGCACTTGATCAGGGTTAGATCTGAACTCCGTGGGTAGGTAGATCTCCAGGAACAGGATTGGGCACCCTTGCCCTAGTCTCAGCCTCAGACGTCACGGCCGCGGACCGCTTGCTAAACGTCTGATGTACCGTATCATCATCTGATTGGTTAAATTCTACAGGAGGTCCGAGAGATGTGTCACGTTCTTTAACGGTCCGCCTGGAAACAAAGATGCTGTGATGCCAACCCCCCTCATGGAAGAACACCTTCGTGTTTACAACTGTACAGTCTGTGCCTACGGTCACCTTTTCCAGTTTTGAAGTCCAGTTATTGAAGGTTGATTTAAATGGTCCTATGTGCTCTGATTTACAGACCCCCTAAATGCAATAAGGATTTTATTCAACAATTTTCAGATTTTCTCTCTGATCTTTTTGAGAAAGCAGTTTTATTTGAATAATTTTAATATTTTGGACATGTTCCAATCTGGCTTTAGATCATTACATAGCACTGAGTCAGCTCTGTTTAGGGTTACAAATGATATCTTGGTTGCTCTAGATTCAGGCTCTTGTGTTGTGCTGGGGTTGTTAGACCTGAGCGCTGCATTTGATACCATTGACCACAACATTCTTCTTGAACGGCTAGAATATATGGTAGGTCAAAAACCGACTAGAGAGGCATTGTTAGAACATGTAGCAAGATTGCAGGTATTAACGAGGAACAAAGAGAACTGTGATTGGTTGATTTACATGTAAGTCAGGCCAATCAACGCTGCTATAGAGTCCAGAGACCCTCTGGTCAGTCTAAAGGTCTGGCTACACGAGATGACCCCTGCCTTAAGGACTTTTGCATTCCCTCACAAACCTTTTGCATTCTCTTGAAAAAGTGTTGCATTCCCCTGATAAACTTTGAATTTGCTCGTAGAAGTGTTCAAATATAGTTTGAGTCAATGCAATGTTTCTCAGGGGAATGCAAAGGTTCTGTTAGCAAACACAAAAGCATTAAAATATAATCTCATATTTTTACATCACCAAGTCCTTGTAGAGACCCCGTAGGAACGACATGTGGAGGTCTAAATAAAAACACCAGGTTCCTTTAAAATGTTGAAATATATTTGAGTGAAAGCAAAGTTCCTCGAGAGAATGCAAAGGTTTTGCTAATGAACACAAAAATCAATCAATATAGAATTTTTCTCCCATCTCAAATTTTTTTCATCACCATAGGGGCTCCTAATACCGACGAGAAAAGAGCAATAAATATATAACTTTACCTAAACTTCCTCTGTATACCTACAAAACAATGTTACCAGTGAAATGGCACTGATTAATGTTAGAAAATAATTAGTTTCCATGCAAACGTATTGACCATTTCAGTCAGTAGGGGTTGGTGACTGAATTAATGGGTTTAATGGTTTTTAGTGTCTATTTATACTTTTTATTGATTTATTATTAACTAAGTAACATGCTGGCTTTATTGTAACAGTCAGGACTCTGTATAAAAATTATTGCTTAATTTTCAATGTTTTTTTAACCAGCATGTGAAAAAGAAAATAGGGGCCATTTACACGCCACCGTTTTACCTAAAAACACAAGCATCTTGGCCATTATTTACACGACAACAGCATTTTGGGGACCTGACAATGCAAACTTGATTTAAAAAAAAAAAAAAAAAACGATTTCAAAGTGCACGTTTTTTAAAAATATACTGTTATTATGTTACTACAAAAAAAACTACAAAACTACATAACTAAAACATGAATTTGTGAAAACTGTGACATTGTGCGCATGTGTCTTACGTGTTCAGTCTATAGGCACGTAGAAATGCAAAAGAAAAACCTGTTTTTATTACATCATTGCCCCAAAACGCCCTGTTCCTAAGATGTTTTGTTGATGCAGAGTTTGATTCCAATATTCAATCTCATAAGCAAGCGTCAAAGAACGTAGACACACAACAGCATATACTTGTTCGTTCATGTCACGATAATGAACCGTTTACCCACCACAGCTTCCTCATTTCTGAGAGCTCTGTGTGAATGCATGTCTTCATTTGAAAATGAAAATGACTTGGGCAAATATTTTAGGAAGGTGACGATATTCAAAATTAAATTACCTACAATACTTGTTAAACAGAATCAGACCCTCGAGTTGCATTAGGTTCTTCTTATTCAAGATGTAACTCACAAAATAACTTTAATGTGAATTTACATTATGTTTTAGCAGTGCAATTCATTATAATTCACAGACACACATGGATACTGCGACATGGGAAAAAAGAATATAACAGCCTAACCCTATACATTTAAATACCATTTCAGCACATACCACAAATTGAAAAAAAAAAAAAGTTGGATTGTTTCCACTCATGTTTTGGTCAAATACAGACAACCCCCATCAGTTGGTTTACATTTTTTAATTAAATTCTCTATATTTGACCCACACACGGGTTAAAACAACCTAGCATTTTTTAGTGTACATACATAGTTACATTTTTACACACGTATAGAGAATACACAGAGAACTATGCCAATCGCAAAACTTACCAAAGCTCAACATTCTGGGCTGAGTTTCTCGGAAGCATAGTGAGCCAAGTTGATCGTAGAGACCATTGGTGGTAATTGTTCTATTAAGCTTAAGATGCTTTTGAGAAATGTAGCCCAGATATAAAATGCCTGATAAGACATTCATCTCCCACAAGGCCCATGTTCCAGGAACATGTGCTTTCCAAGAAGAGTGATTTCCAAGGAATACTGCCACCCTCGCCATTTACTCACATGCAAACTTGAAAAATAGTAGCTTTCTTTCTCCCATTGAACACAGAAGAACATAATTGTGTATAATAAATCAATATAAATAACTTCTGAAGTCAACAAAAATCCAAAACGTTCAAATTAAGAAATAAAAAGGTAGAGTGAATTAATCCATCAGCTTCACTAATACTGCATCTAAAGGTGTAAATTTTACATTTCACATTAGTAAAATTTTGCATGGGAGAAAAAAGGGGGGGGGATTCGTTGTATTATTGTCAATAATCTATTGTTAATTGTCTATTTTCGATAGTGCAGCAAATTATGAAGCACAGCTCACACAGAAGTTACTTTTGTAAAACCAAGCAGTTTTCTGTCTCTCAATGTGGTAGCTAATTAGTGTGATCAGCTGGAAAGTGTTGCAAAATCTGCAAAGGGGAAATGATCACCCTCACGTGAAACGGCATGATAGCTCTGTATGAGGAACAGATCAAAATGTGACCAAATGTCATGAAATATGAAAAACAAGGTCTGACACTTGATAAAGGAGGGGTGGGGAACGTTGATCCTGGAGGGCCATTGTCCTGCAGAGTTTAGCTCCAACCCTAATTAAACACACCTGAAGCTAATCAAGGTCTTCAGGATTGCTAAAGTTACAGGCAGGTGAGTGTTTTTTTCAGGGTTGGAGCTAAACTCTGCAGGCCAATGGCCCTCCAGGATCAACGTTCCCCACCCCTGTGATAAAGGATCACCCCCACCAAAAAAAAAACTCAATTATATTTAAAAGAATGGCAACCATTGACTTCCACCGTATAAATTGATCCGTTCTTCAAATAGAGTAATCATGTCGCTTTAGAAAACATGATATTCCAGTGGAGTTAATTTCACACAATCTTGGTCTTTTTAGAAATGTGAAAAATGTAGACCCAATTTCACAATAAGGACAAAAAACAGCTGAAACAATCTTAAAAATATTAGTGTTCTGCAGGACAAAGTAATTCTGGGCGATCTAACCCTTAAAGCAGTGTTTTCCCAACCCTGTTCCAGGAGGCACACCTACAGTGCACAATTTTTGGATGCGTCTGTTATCTGAACCATCTATTTCTGGTCTTAAAGTCTGTATAAAAGAGCAGATGAGTTGAATTAGGCATGTTTGATTTGGAAGAGTTTCGAAAATGTGTAGCGTCGGTGTGCCCCTAGGCACAGGGTTGGGAAACACTGAGCTTTTTATAGGTTATCTTTAAGGCAGTGTCAATTGCACAAAAACATAAATGGTGTTCATCACCATCACCCGTGTTGTCTTTCAAGTACAATAACGAAACAATCCCAAGTCATTTCAACCCCAAGTGAAAACTATAACCAAAAAAAAAAAAAAGCCTTCAGAGTATCAGAAATGTCTTGAAAGGTACATGTTTAATGCACATTATTGTCCCCAGAAAATTGCCAACTTATTCTTTAACTTATCTAATTGGTCTAATAATAGTCCGTTTACAATTGACCAAACATATCAGCAGGTCAGCATGGAGCTGTGCATATTCCTCCACAATCTCATGGTCTGCCGAGGGTTGCGTTGGTGCACCAGGAGCAAGTCTTTGTGCACACAGGGGTTCTCTCGATCTTGCTCCCGAATGTCAAATGTCTTGAAACCATCGTGTTTGGTCGGAGTGATTCCAATTGCTTTAAAGCACATCCCGTTGTAGACGTCATCGATAGGGTAGAAGGGTATGTAAAAGGAAACGTGGTAAAGAGATGGGAGAAGGTTTCCAGAAAAGAGGAATCCACCGCCACCAGCATAAGGAGGGTATGGACCTTCGTAGAAAGACTGAGGAACATAATATTTGATTTTAGGGTCCCGTAATGGCGTGGCATCAGAAATTATCTGCCCAGTGTACAACGTCGAGGCCTGTGCGGGATCAAGAGACTTCAGGTGATTCAGGATTGCTTGAGTGTTGGCAAAAACATCATCGTCGCCCTTAAAAATGAAAGGCACCTGAGGACATTGATCCAGCATCCACTTGAAGAACACATGCTCCTTGAGAGTCAGGTTGTAAAAGGTGTCGTGAAAATCCCAAACGAGCAGGTCTTTAAACTGCTGAGCTTCAAATGAAACCATTTTGTCGAGACTGGGATCATCCGCAGATGATCGACCCAGCAGAAAGACAGTTCGTACCTGAAGTCCGTCTGCATACAACCCTTCTCTTCCCCAGGTCTCCCGGACTGCTTGGCGCCTCTCGAAGTGCTTTGGGATGGATTTGATTGCAAAGAGAAGGAAAATTTGATCCGACGCACACTTGTCAGGCTGATCGTGAAGAACCGGTGGGTCTCGACACTCCATACCTTTAAGGAAGTCTCCGTAAAGAGGGGGATACGTATGAATATCCTGAATGTTCGTTTGTAGCAACTCTAAACTCTCAGGATGACAGTGAAACTTTTTATGCGGCTCCCTATGCGTTTCATTGTTGGCGGAGTCAAACTGCCTAAGGAGAGAATGAAGCTTTCGGTTCCAGAAGGCACCGTTTTTGGGAACGTCATTTCTAAACTTCTCAGAAATAGTAAGGGGAGGAAGTTCTTTAGGCGTAACACTTTTTGGGGGTTTTTTTATCGTTTTTGTCAGTACAGCTGTGGGTTTTCTAGAAATGGCAGTTGCAACCAAAGGGATTGTGGCCAAGTCTCTTTGTGTGCGTTCCACATCCGTTAGTGAGGAATAGAATATGACAAAGCAAAGGCAGCTAGCTACTGCTACAATGAAGATTTTAGTATACTTTCTCATTTTACAACAACTCTGTTGAGAGAGAAGCTAACTTTAAGCAAGAAAGGATGTTGGTCTCAACAGGAAATGGTGGGGGTTCACACAACAGAATGTTCTTGCGTTGAAGTGCTGCTCTGTTTCTTTGTTCTTTCTTGGGGGATCAATGTTAGTTGATCAATGTTACTTTTTATAGGCATGACAAACATCTGTTATGCGCATCTTCCTCCGAATTCAGTTTCTTCAATTATATTCCCATTTGATGTCAAGTTCAGCTGTGAGCCTAGCAGACACAAGGAAACAGTAATGCAAGTGAGATCACAGGAACGTGACATAACTGGAAGTCTGAAGCCTCTTGTGACAGCAGTAAATTTGTTTGGTTATGTACTATGAACACACCACTCCAAATACCACTGGGCTCCAAACCTTGCCTAAATACTAACTTTCTGAAAGTTAAAGTGACAGTTCGCCCAAAAATGAAAAATTCTGTCATCATTTACTCACCCTTGTGTTGTTCAAAACCTGGATTTCTTTCTTCTGCAGAACACAAGATACTTCGAAGGGGCCCAATATGACTTCCATTGTATGGACAAAAGAAACCAAGACATTCTTCAAAATATCTTTTGTGTTTCAGATCATTTAAACTCAATTCACATTTATTTGTATAGCGCTTTTCACAATACATAGTTTCAAAGCAGCTTTACAGAAAATCCATGCGTCTACACTACAATTTAGAGTGATCTAAAATCAGAGGTGACAGTCAAAGTAAAGTATTTCAGCAAATCACAGTTAGCAAACAATGTATTAAATTTAAGGCAGAAACAATTAGCTCATTGAAGTTATTAATTACAAGTTGTCAACATGATTGCAATATATAGAAATTTAGCATTGATGCCCGTTGATTCAGAGTCTGCATCATCTGAACTTCTCGCAGGAGTTGGAGAAGTAGGTTGTATGGGTTTGGATCAACATGAGGGCGAGTAAATGACAGAACATTCATTTTTTGGGTGAACAAACTCTTAAAACTTACTGGAACAGGGCTACAGCTTTGTAGATGCAAACATTACAGCTACATTGGCAAACAAAATATTTGTATTTGTATCTAAAAATAAACAAGCTTTTAAATGTATTGGAAATATGGTCTCAGGTGACCAATTAAACAGCACAGGCTCTAGATGAAGTACATTTCACTCCCGTAAGGACACTGTATTGAGCTCAGGGACAGATAATGCAGGCAACCTTAGCGAATGTGTGGTCTTAGAACATGTGGAAACTTATATTTTGTTCTTTCTCGATGGATTATTATCCTTCAGGAGCGGCTGATTAATCTAACATGTGACTTAGCCTATGTTCCAGCCCTTAACCCTGATCTATTTATTCAGTATTTGTAGTATATAGCAAACCTTGCCCTGATTCAATGATAAAAGCATTTAAAATTAGGCTTTATCTCAAAGACATGGCTATATTTTCAGGAATGTGCTTGCTTTTCTAGTATTACCCATTATCAGGAATGTGCTTGCCTTTCCAGTATTGTGGATAAACTACAAACAATCAGCTATGATTTTAACCATATCAGTCTTGAATCATTATTTAATTGAAATGTTAAGCAGGTTTACAAATAATTAATACCTCAAGGTAAAACACTTACTGCTTCACTTAATGCTTTTTTAAACAGGGTAGGAATATATATCTCAGCATTACTAGAAACTCCAGTCTGAACACTTGCTGCATACTAGACTAGGCCACATTTTTGCTCATATCTGCCTAAGTGTACTGGTTTGAGAAAAAGCTCATTCCTGAAAAAGCGGTTCTATACAACTCGTTTAGAATTGTAACCAACTTTGTATTTGGAAGGAAAACTCACACATTAGCTACAATGTGTTAAGCATAGATTTCGGAAAAATACAAGTTCACTAGATGCGTTAGCCTACAAAGAAAGCAATAGATCAAGAAAGTAGTAATTAAAGAAATAAGCTCTTTGGTTTGAAGGAGATCCTATAATAAAAATAATAAATTATTTTTCGTCGCGGTGTTACAGCTGTACATTTTTTAAAAGATTTAAACAGATGAATGTCTCTAGGCAACTATCTATGATGGTAATACTGACGGTGGATAAAAGGTATAGGCTAACAATGGAAGGTATTAAACCGACTGGCAAGGTCAATTTAAATTAAAAGTGACGTTAAACGTTTTTCAAGAAAAGCAAGAAAAAGCATAACAGGACTTACTGTGTGAGCTTCGATGAACGTTCTTTGTCAAAACTGATCGCTTTCACAACAGGAACCGCGTTGTTACCCAAGATGAGTGTGAGTGTGTGTCTCACTGTAAAACGCTACGTCGGCTTCAACCTTTTTCCCCATCAGCACCTGTCTATGATTGGTGCTTATCATTCAACACACCTGGGCTGAACCACGTGACTGTTAACACCTTTTCTTGAGAGTTTAATTATGCAGAGTGCTCTGATATAAAACAGAAGTCTTACAATCAAATCACTGAGATGCTTATGTAATGTGTAAGGAACGGCTCCTACGCCCCGCCATAATAAGAATAGCAATGTACAAGAATATTGCACTATTCAAAAGTCATTATTTTTATTATTATTATTTGTTTACAAATATTTGCAACAGCATTTCAAAATTATTTCGAGGGCATGAACGTGCCCCTGACTTATACAAATAGTTGTCACGATATGAAAATATATTTCTATAAATCTATTATTCTGCATTTTCATTTTTTTGGGTCTATTTTGACATGTTTCCCCGTTCATTTATCAACATGCAAATTCAAGAGTGAATCACAGGTTGTCTCTCTCGAGAAACTTTGTACAAGACCGCCAATCACTTATGTCAGTAAAAGTGACTTTTGAATATTAACATTAGGCTATAAACAAAGCAGATAAATGGTTTATACATTTTCTTATGATGGTGTCATCTTTCAATTAAAATTATATTTAAAAATTAAGACCCAAACACATCTCTAAGTTTTCTAGTGTGGTGGTGAGGAAGTGGTTATTTTGGGGGAAATGAAAAACCGAAATTCTGTGTGCTCTCTAAACTTTCTCACACACCAGAGCATTAAAACATTCAGCTCTATTAGTTACAGAAGCAAGGTATTTAGATTTTAAACTGAGAGACAATTTACAAGTTACAGGACAGGCCAGCACTTGTCTCACTTTATAGAGAATAAATAAAATCACTCCGTACATGTTGGAATCAGTCCTTCTTTTACTCTCTTTTTCTTCTCCTGATGTCAAAATAATAATAATAATAATAATAAAACAAACAAACCAGAAAAATTAGATTAAAAAGATTAGTCTATGCAGGAATCAGCAAGCAAAAAATATGCAGAGATGCAAGATAAGGTACTTCAGCTAAGAATAAAAATATATATGCCACAACTAAAGAGGTTAACAGAATAAACCAATGCTTTTTTTGAGCTCAGTGATACAGCTGCTCAATTTAACCAGATGACAAAGCATTTCTGAAGCTTGGTGTGCACAGCACTCCATAATACAAATGTGGCTGGTTTCAGTTCTCATGCAACACTCGCTCAAAATCACATTCAAACAACCAGCCCTTCTTTATTTAGTGTTCTTTCAGGTCTGGCGGCACGCCGTGTCATAGAGAGAGAGAGAGGTCTGAGGTAAAGCAAGGAAATTAAGGCACTGAGAGTTGAGCTGGTGATAAAAGAGAGAGATAGTCGACCATCGTACTGAAGTCGTGGTGTTAAAGGCACGAGGCAGAGCGAGCGGAAAGGGGCAGAGGTCAGGAGGAGGATCTTAGCGAAGGTCACTTTCGTCTTCTTGTATGGTTTTCTTGATACGAAGCAGCATGGTGGTGAGCCACTGATCCAGCCGTGAGATGGTGTCGTACTCCTTCACCTGAAGGATGGAGAGAAATGTCAGTTAAACTGATGAACTGATGTTCGGTTTAACTGGTTTAGCTATGTTTCTATCCAAAGTTGAAAATTCAGCTTGTGTGGAAAAATTGGAAACATTTACGAATAAAGCACCGTTTCCATCTTAAGTGTTCAAGAGAACAAAATCGTCACTTCCTGGGAAACTGGCGCAAAATATCTGTAATAAAAATGGAAGTTGCTGCAATCGGGGAAGCCATTGCGAGGAAGCCATTGCGGCTCTTTTATCCTAGATTATAAATGACTTTTTTATGCCGAAACGCAATAAACGTTATCATGTTATGTTGCATTCGGATGCCTTGTGTTTGCGACACTTTTGAGAGGTCTTTATACCGAATCATTTTGGTGACAGACTTTGACTTCAGAATGCAAACCAAAACTTGAGATACAATGCAATGAAACTGATCCGCTGGTTAGTCCAGTTATCAATCCCATCCTCCCTTGAGGAAAAGTCAGGCAAGTTTTTTTTGTTTATGCTCATCTTGGTGTTTCCATTAAGCTTTTTTTTTATGCAATACCCTAAAAACTGCATAAAAATAGGGTGGGTGGAATCATGGCTACTGATAGCGGCTACCGGCATGTCACGTGGGTTGTTTAACTTGTTTGTAGTGAAACTGAGTTGTCACAGGATTGTTTACAATACAATACAACACAATTGACAAATAGAAAGAGCAATTAATAGCTCACAGCGTCAGTATATGAATCCACATTCTGTTCCTCAAAGGCCTCTAAAAGTTTCTGTAAAAAACAAACAAAAAAGAACATTTTAAGCACATATTTCATCCATTATCCCACTGTCAAGACCACAATGTGCTAATGTCACCCAACACACTTTTCAGGCAGAATGATTGTGATCGTTTAAACATACTGGTTTAAAACAGTTGTGATTACATTTTGTATAGTTTGAACTCTCAGCAGATTTTGTTAAATATCATTGCATGACAAGCCAATCTAGAAACCCACATTTAGCAGGAAGAAGACAAAAATGGTTTGTATAAATACTGAGCTCAGAGCCAACCTTACCTTCAACAATTTGCATTCACGTGAATCTGAAAAGGCTGGAAACATTTCCTCATACTTCTGCAGGGCAAGCTACAAGGGGGGCATCAGAGACAAGGAATATGAAAGGGAGCCGCAAACGACACAGCTGTTTTCCATTGCTTATTTGAAGGAATGCGTAATGGTAGGGTGTTTCATACCTTAGCATTCAGCATGTCCACACAAAAGTGGCAGAGAGCTGCCTTAAAGAAATAGTCCTTTGCGCTGTATTTCAGCAGAGTGCTGTCCATTGCATGCGTTGCCACCTGGAAACCCACCAGCACAAATAAAGAAATAGCTTAACTTTTTTCCTCCAAATCTACATTTGCAAAAAGATGCTACTTCTTGTTTCAAGCTGATGTACAAATAGTGAGTTTGGGGTTAAACTGACTGCATTCTTGAGATGTGTGCATTCGATAATGAAACCCACACATAAGATTCGATCAGCCTTCATTTGAGAAAATAAGAAAAAGTGATATCAGGACTGTGGTATAAATGTGATGCTTTTTTGACTGGTGGAACATGTGTCTCCCTAAAGTGAAAATTAAGTCATCATTTACTCACCCGGATATTGTTCTAATGCAGTATCACGTTCTTTCTTTTTCAGACCACAAAAGGTGACATTTAAAAAAAAAAATCATATAATGGCAGTGAATAGCGACCATGTTCTGGAGGTGTACGATAGGGTTTGGTAAAAAAAAAAAAAAACGAAATTGTATGTATTATGTATAACAAAAATCCTAACCTTGGCCATTGGGCTTTTGTCCATGGCACTTTTTCATGACACTTTATTGGCACCTCAGTTCACTCCGACTCGCTCAGAAAAAGCACACAAGTTGTGAGAAATTACATGTAATACAACTCCTAAAAATCCCCAAAAAGAAGAGTCCCCAAGAGTTGAATATCTCTGGACCGGAATTCCATTTGTCTGATGATGTTTACAGATGTGAACACGCTAACGTCATGTTATGATGAACATAATGGACATACCGGTATTCACCTCAAAGTAGTAGGGCAGGGGGATATGGCACATATTTTTCAAAACGATTGACTGATTCACGATTTCGATTTTTTGGTTTAACTAGTCAACGTAAAAACACAGCTTGTATTATGTTAAAAATTATAAAAACACAATATGATTCAAGTAACATTCTCTTTATCAACCACCAGGTTTTTAATGCATCACACAAGACGTGAACTTGTTATTTGTTAAATATCTTTGCAGAAAATATGCATGAAACATGAAGGCAAATATTGTACAAACTTATCTTAAAACATACCCTATATGCTCAGAAATATAAAATAAGAAAAATGCTAAACATTTTTTCAAACCATCATGCAAACATATCTAACATACAATAGGAGTTCTTGGTAGACTTTTGCATTCCACTGAGCTGTCTTTCCATTGCTTTCTACGTAAACATGCTCTAGACAGACGTGTTTATGGGTTATGCAAACACGGCGCCGCTCAAGTAAAAAAAAGTTCAACTCTCGTCTAATGCTACGTTCACACCGGACGCGAATAGCGCGTCAAATTCGCGCCTACCGCGTCTAGTTATACGCTTGACCACTTTGAATCCATTCGCGCGTCAAGAGCGAAATTGACGCGCGTAAAAAACAAAACTTTGAAGCGAAATTTACGTGCGTCTGAATCGAAACCCGTTGGCGGCCATCTTTTTTTATGTTGATCGAGCATTCATCGAGAGAGTCACCGCTCTGTATTTGCTCTGAATAGCATATATTCTGAATACGAGAGCAGAACGGCGGCGTAGGGGTCATCGTCGCCGTATTTGTGTCCACCAGACCCTTCAAAGGCGAACCCAGTGTGGCGAGTTTCACCATTTGCTCGCTCCAGGAGCTGCGCCTGGATGACGGCCGCTGTCAGCGGTACTTCCGCCTGTCTCGCGCCCAGCTTGATGACCTGTTGTCCCGCATCGGAGCGAGGATCACCCTCGCCCTCATCCACCTAATCTGTCATTTATTTTTGTTTTGATGATAAATGGAGCCAGCCTCCAAAAGTGATTAATCTGTCCTGTGATTTTTTTCTCTCTCACACACATCACTGTCCAGACACGAATGTTGGTTGTCTTTACATTATATTAATATTTCATATAGGCCTAATCTAGATATGGAATAAATAGCATTCAATACAAAATGAATATGTCTCATAGGCCTATATTGAAATCAAGTTTTATGTAATAAAATATTTGCTTTGTTGTGCATTAGAACTACATTAGAACCACCGTCAAATTACAAAATAATTTATTGAAGCATCCAGATACTTCACCACGTGACAGCAGCAAGCAGCTAGGCTCCTGATTGGTTAACGCGGCGCGAATTGACGCAGAAGTTCAAATTTTTCAACTCGGGCGGCAGACGCGAATTCGCGTCAAACGCGTGAATGCACAAAATGCACCATTCGCGCGTAACGCGCCAGACGCTCAATTCGCGCGAACTTGACGCGCGAATGAGGCGTATTCGCGTCTACTGCGCCGCGCTCTACGCCTCAAGCCCCGTTCACACTACACGCGACGCGATACCATTCATTTCAATGGTGAGCGGGCGACTTCCGGCGACACGCGCGACAGCGACCGTTGGCGACTAGATGGGGCGTGTCTAGCGACGCGACAAAGTTGAGAAATTTTTTACTTTATGCAAATGAAGAGCGATTTTCACGAACGACAACCAATAGGAGTGGAGCGCACGTGATCCTTCTCCTCAGCCCCTGGGCCTGCAGTGATGGATGGCAAGAAAGCTGATTCGCTGTCTTTTAGATGTCATACTAGTCAACCAGTAGTGGGAACGCCCACTAGCGACCTCATCGCCAGCGCCTGGCGACTTGCAGTGACAAAGTCGCGTGTAGTGTGAACGGGGCTTCATTCGCGCTGCAGGAATTTTTTACGCGCTAACGCGTCTTTGTATTAACATTGAAATCACTCGCGCCTGACGCGCTATTCGCGTCCGGTGTGAACGTAGCATAACAGACCCTTCTTGTGCCGACGTCACTATTACGTCACAGCGTTAGCTGGAGGCAAAACAAAGGAAAAACTGGAGGCGGCCAATACAAATCAGCTATTAATATTTATAGTCGGCTACATAAGAAGCCTAAAATGTTATCTCGCTATGTTGTTGGGTGCCAGAATCAACGGAGTACATGCTCCAATTGGTATACTTCAAGCGAAATTGAAGAATAAACTGATGTGACGTCATTTCGAACAAAATCAGGCCAAAACGAACTTTGGATAAAGTTCGGTTCGGCTGGTAAATAACTTTGTACTACCATTGGTCCGTGGCGATTAAGTAATATGTACTGTGCGCGGAGGCTCCGGCTTCTTTCATGTGGAAATATTTTCCAGTTCATTTCTCCTCACGAGATGTGACCCGCGAGTGAAAACATGAACACACTAGAGAGCTGCTTAATAGTAGAAATTTAAGTTTGAAAATGAAAGTTTATTTTTCAATCACTTCATTTTGAAATGATTATTCTTTTAGTATTGTTTTTCTTTATTGATTTTTATAATAATTTCATAATGTATTTTGTGAAGTCAGAGTATGTTGTACATGTGTGCTGATGAGAGATCTGGTATGAGCTCAGCTATATTTTGAGGTATGTGTGCAATGTAACATGTTCACTAAGCAGAGATGTTCCACTGATGATGATACAACCGTTGGGATGTTCTTTACAAGAAAAGGAATGTTTCAACTGATGCAAATGTATACGCCGAGAATAGTTGTACGATGATTGTATATGTATTACATATAAGTTCCATTTTTAACATAAGCAACGTGTTTTGTTATCTTACAAGGCAGTTGAAAGTCTCTCTGTGATGTATATAAGCTCAATCTTACTGTACCACCTCAGAGAAACATAAAGGCATGATGGGCTGAGGGAGGAGAAACACCAAGAAAACATTTACAGCTAGCATGATGGGATGAGAAGATAGAGAAATGGGGAACAGAGAAATATGGAATGAAGACCTCCTCTCATATAGCCTTATTTTTAAATGCCTGTGTTTCTCTCTGTCTGACACATGTATAAATAATAAATCTCTTGGCAAAAGTAACTGGTGTAGCTTCCGTGATTCAACAATAATAGGAGGAAGCAGGATTTTCAAATCTACAGTTTGGTTACTGACATTCTTCAAAATATCTTCCTTTGTGTTCAGCAGAAGAAATTCATACAGGTTTGAAACAACTTGAGGGTGAGAATATGATGACAATTTTCATTTTGAAGTGAACTATTCCTTTAAAGCTTGATAAAGCATAATCGCTATTCACTGCCATTATACACACACGAGTGTGAGTGGGACATTTTTATAAAATGTTAAAAAAGAAGGGCATTAGAACAACACCAGGGTGGACAAATGATGACTTGCTTTTCCTTTTAGGGCGAATTAACCCTTTAACAGCTACCTTCATTTACATATCTCAGATTCAATTTTAGCTACACAAATTTGTACAAGGAAATATTTACGGTTAAACTTTGATGACTCTTATATGGGACCTTCAATGAGATCAAGTGCACTGAAACCAAGCCTGTCATGTATTTGTTTACCTGTTCATAGATCTCAATGGCTTTAGGGTACTGCTCCAGTTGAGCGGCGTAGGTGGCGACTTTGAGTAGGCACTTGTTGGCTGAACTTTGGCATCAGAGACAGAGTGAACAGATTAGAAACTATTTCACAGTCCTAGAGTATGACTCTGTTACAATTAAGGGAAAAATCCCCCAAAAAGGCCATGAAATAATGAAAAATAGTTGCATGTGTCATATATATCTCAATAGTAGTACTGTAACTGTGAGATGGGAGCAAAGGTCTGCTTCAGCAAACATGCTTGCCATTTATTACGTCTTTTAATAAGTAATCTAAACAATTTCCTGAAGTTATAGGTAACCCATTATCTACTGGTCTTCTCAACATCTTCACTCATCAGTATTAAGCAACAGCAGGGGAAACAAATAGCTTCAAAACTGCCATACCTTGTGGACTCCTCGCCTTTATAATAGTCTGCTGCCTGTTCGTAGTGAGCTATGGCCTGAGAAAAGGTTATAAAGTAACAATAACCACTAAACAAGGTGAATATATTTTCCTTTCAGATTTTGGATAAACTTGATGGATTATATATGGTTTACAATAGAAAATGATCTATTTTTGTGACAAAAAAAGTCTGACCTTGTCAATATCACCCAGTTCAGTCTCATAAATTTCAGCGATGGTGACGTGATGTTTCGCTGCGATTGTAAATCGACCCTACAAGACGAGAAACACAAAACAATCACTGGTGAAAAACAGCTTAAACGAGTTCAGCTGGTCAGTTTCAGACGAAAAACTACACCATTACATTGGGGGGGAAACAATTTGCTCCATTGAAAGCCATTCGCAAATATCAGATTACATTGATAAAACATTTTCTGCAAGCAAATTATCTCATTTCAAATCTAATCTAATTTCAAAAATATCAAAACTTAATAAGCAGGTTTACAAATATCTTCAAAAACGAATTCATAAATATCATCAAGTTTTTGGGGAGTCGCACCTCATGGCATTTGACAACCTTAAGATTCCCATACATAAAAAAAATAAAATAAAAAACAGTAACTGATTTTTGGAAATTATTTCCATCTGCTCAGGATATTAAAAAGTAAAAAGTGTGAGACCATGATTTCATCAGGAATAACAGGTCATATTGTCATTTTTTAATTGTGATTAATAACTTGACATTTAGGCCTGTTTTCACAGACACGGCTTGGATTAAGCCTTGGTTTAATTAGGATATTTAAGTAGCTTTTATAAACGTGCCTTAGAAAAAAAACATTACTGGTGTGCATCTTGAGATAAAACAATGGCACTGAGATATTTTAAGATTTACCAGAGCAAAATTGATTTCAGTTAAAACAGCACAAACATGCATTTTAGTCTGAGACTAGGCTTAAATCTTGTCTGTGAAACCGGGAATTCGAAATTTAGGTTTCTGCACACTAAAACACATGCATTGTGTTACAGTGCCCTCCAGTGGTGTATTGAGTAACTTGCAATATGTTTTATAAACGAATGCTTTGGATATGTTGAACAATTTCCAAAACAAGTTTTCACTGCAAAAAGATAAACGGATGAAAAGAGTCTAAATGATTCTGTGCCACGCAAAAACACCTCTATTTGGTTTTAAAACACCGTCTACAGCCTCCACAGATGTAAGAAAGACTCTTACCATGTCTGTATAGATCTCAATGGCTCTGTTCAGGCAGTTTATGGCCTCTGTGGAGAGAATTTTCAATGAACTGCAGATAGCTAGATAACTACTAACTCAAAAGTAAGAAGAACCCTTTTTTTGGTGCACAAAAAAACAAAACAAAACAATGGGTCTCATTCACTAATAAATGTGTGAATTATTCATATTTGTACACACAGGAGAACTTGTCCTACTAATTCACAATGCATATGAATTCTTTACCTCATTTTAACATTAATGTTTTTGTAGTATTCTAAATGAGCGACCTCATTTGATTAAAACGCCCATATAAGGGCTTTCCACGCAAACTCACCTTTTGTCACTCATAACAAACACATGACGCTCTCTAAAGATGCGCTTAAAGGGTTTTTGAAAGAAGTCTCATGCTACAAAGGCTGGATTTATTTGATCAAAAACAGTAATTCTGTAAAATATTATATATTATTAATTAGTTTTCAAAAGCCATACTTCAGTATTTAGTGTCACACGATCCTTCAGAAATCATTCTAATATGCTGATTTGCTGCTTTATTGGTGCTCTATTAATAGTGGTTTTTATTATTATCAATGCTGAAAACTTTTATTGCTGCTTAATATTTGTGCAGACTGATCTTTTTTTTTCTCCAGGATTTATTGATGAATAGAAAGTTCACTAGAACAGCATTTATTTGAAATAGAAATCTTGTAACATTCCAAACGTCTTTTGTGTCACTTTTGATCAATTTAATGTGTCCTTGCTGAATTAAAGTATTTCTTTCTGAATGGGAGTGCATCACAGATCCCACAAAAATATTAAGCAAAAACTTAAACAATTACATTTCAAAATGTATTAAAATACAAAACAGTTGTTTTAATTTGCAATAATATTTCACAATATTACTGTCTATATTTTTGCTTCAAATTCTGAATACATTTTATTGCAAAAGTTATTGATGAATCATGACATGTTCGTGAAAATGTTTGTACACTGATTTCACGCACAAATTCATGTGTGTGTGCACGGTTGGAGAATGAGACCCAAAGCATACGTGTTAATAGTAGCTGGATGTTGAGAAATATAAACGTGACATTTAAATAAATACCTTGAGGGTCGGATTTTTTAAAGGCATTTCCGGCATCAATGAAGTTTGTGGCTGCGTCATGTTTACTCTGCATCTGCAGGTGTAGGAGGGCCGCCTGCGAGAAAGCATTTCCTGCAGCTAACAAACACATTTACACAACAAAATCCAAACATTAAATAGACATAAATAGACTTTATGCTTTAACACACATCTTCCTCATTTAGAAATGAAATGCCTTTTTGTTCCATTCACACATGTAAATGAAGAGGACAAAATGACAAAAGTAGATATGTTAATATGTTATTTATACTGAAGCTAAATGTAATGTCACTCTTTACCACTCCAGTTCTTGGCCATCTTGAACATATTTGCAGCTCTTCCATATAAGTCACAAGCATCCTCCATCTTTGAAGAGCCCCTGGTGAAATATAATGAATATTAGAATGATGATTTCAAACAAATCATTACAAGTCATAAATAATAACAAATCATAAACTACAGAGCTCCACACATGGCATGCGGACATATTTATGGAGTACATACAGTATGTACAGTGTTTCCCCTAGGATTTTTTTCGGGGGGGGGGGGGGGGGGGGGGGGGGGCTGCTAGTGTTGCGGAGCGGGCGTGTTACGGATACGTGGTGTAAATTTTTTAGCAATCAAAAAGCATGTCTAATTAATTGAAATAGTGTATTATGAATCATTAAACGTATACAACATTTAAAAAAAAAAATTTCACACTAATTCTGTGTTGTGTTTTTTCTGGTAATAAAATGAAGACAAAACACAAATTTGATCATTTATCATCAATTTTAATCAAATGAAATTAAATAAACTTTTTGTCAAATAACGTGCTGGACAATGATTTACTGTTAAAATTAAAACATGGATTATTCCTTAAATTCAGTTTTGATGATAATTTATTTGGATTAGTGTTAGTATTATTACATTGGGACATATCTAAATTCTACTGTACAACGGTAATATATCTCTGTCAAGTTAAACCGAACTTTTATTTTGACGGGTTGCCGTGAAGACCTTTTGAGTTTGTGTGTTTATGTCATAATGATAGTTTTTCTCAAATGAAGCGGTTAAATGATCACGAAGTGACTTTCGGAGTGGATCTAGAGCCTGGAGAGGAAGTTTATCCATTTGTGTCTTCATATAGGCAAAAAAAACAGCGCAAGCGTCACATGTGCTTCAGTGTGTGTGTGTGTGTGTGTGTGTGTGGTAAATGAAACTGCGCGTCGGCTGCACCATTCATTCACTCAGAACATGCAGGATTCGTATTTAAATTGTCTTTGTGGTTTAATATCCACACACACTTGTCTACATCGCGATTTGATTTCAAGTGTATACTGAACTGCTTTCTATTTATTCCTCAAAAGATGAACAAATTCCATGAAATTCCGCGTTATACAGTAAATATCTTTTTTATGAATGGACGTCAGCAATTTAGGGGGGGGTAACAATGGTAAGGGAAACACTGATGTATATAATCTGCAAAACATTTGTTGTCTCAAGCACACCTGATACAAATCAAGGGCTTCATTAGTTGCACCAGGTGTGCTTGAGCTAGAACACATGAAATATCTGAACTGGCTAAGTTTGTTGAGTGTCACGTTTGACTGCATGTTCGAAATTAGGGATGCACCGAAAATTATAATATTATTATTTTCGGTTTTTGTTCGAAAGAGAAAAAAGGCCGAAAATATGAGCCGAAAATATGCCGCCCCGCCCCTCTGTGTTCAGGAATCAGGAATTACCTATGGGCGCAGCATGTTTTGTAACTTTGCAAGCGGCTTTGCTTCCGAAGATGCACAACTTCAACGCAACTGATCAGGCCCTGTCACAAATGGCACACTTCATATGCACTTTCGGTCTTGTGGACTTACAATCGCTGCCCCGTGCCCGTTAAGTCCATGAGACCGTAGGGTGTTTCTGAGAAGGCAGGTTCAGAAAAATCCTTGAAAGACAAAAGACCTGCAGCAAGACTTGGTGGCAACAGGCACTGAGGTTTCAGCTGCACAGTAAGACACGTACTAAACGCACGCCGGATTTCAAGACGTACACCACTACTAACCCATAAGCACAAGAAAAGTCGCCCCAATTTGTCCAAAATCATATAAATAAGCCATAAAAGTTTAGGGATTCTGTTCTGTGGAGCGATAAAACAAAACTTTTCAGCCCTATGGATCAGCGGTATGTCTGGAGGAAGAAGAATGAAGCATATGCTGAAAAGAAAACTGGTGATGCTCTGCGGCTGCTTTGCATCCTCTGGCACTGGAAACCTGCAGCGTGTGGAAGGCAAGATGGATTCATTTTTGTATATCAAGAAATCCTAGGAAAAAGCATCATTGGACCTTCCAACAGGACAATGATCCCAAGCATACCTCAAATTCCACCAAGACTTTCGTTACAGAAGAATTGAATCTCATGAATATTACTGAACTGAAGGCCATTGCTCATGAGGAACGGGCTCAGACTCCTCAGAAACACTGCCAGTAGTGTGTGGTTTTATATCTCGTTTGCAGCAGGTCATAACAGCAGAAGGGTGTCCTACTGAGTACTAAAGATGCTTGCCATGATGGGGTTGAATAATTTTGAGACTGCAAAAGTCATTAAAATTAGCATTTTCAGTTGAATTTAGGGAAACCACTTGAAACATTTGTTGTGTTGAGCTATTTATTTCAATTACTTTTGTTTGATTTGTTCATTACAAACAACTGAAAGTCAGTAAATTCTGATTTTTGAAAATGTTTAAGTCTGTAAATAAACCTGATTTGCAATGTTAAATCATTTCGATTACAACTCTGTATATATATTATACAAATACAAAGAATTTGTTCCCTTGTTTTAATAAATCGCCGTGACCACATTGAACTAATTTGTTTCCTCATTTTGATTGAACTAAAACAAGGGAATGAATTATTACAACGTGGCCACGATTTAGTAAAACGAGGGAATGAATTATTATAGTGTGCGCACAATTTACTTCAAACGAGAGAATGAACAAATTAGTAGAACGCATTGACGTATTGGTGAAGAACGAATTGTTCATTTGTGGCCACGATATACATACGAAAGAGCTCGAAAAATATATGTAATATAACATTTGTCATGAGGGACACATAATTAAGCTATTTTTTTTGTTACCATAAAATTTACATTGATTAGTAAATATATTTTGTTGATAAGAATGTGGATATATTTTTTTGAAATGGAATGAACCTTTAAACAAAATATTTTTAAAAATTAAATAAAATATTTGAGGCTTTTATTGCACATATAGTATGATATAGTGAGAATATGGAGCTCATATTGAAATAAAGCTCTGTAGCTTTAATGGGAATTGTGCAATTGCAATGTTGATTGAGAGATGTAGGCTATAAATAAACGTTAATATAAGTCTCCTGTATCATATTTTTCTAATATTTAACCTCCTGAGACCCGAGAGTTTGCCTGGTGTGCATTTTATAATTGTTCTTGCTATTTGGGATAAGTAGGACCTAATAAATATAATAACTAAAATTTGTTTTTGTACAGGAAGTAGTTTTTGCAGAAAATGATGTCCTCATGTGAGGACAGTGGGTCTATGATTTACCATATGATGTCCTCGTATGAGGACACAGTACTAGCAATAAAAAAAAAAAACTTGTGGTTGTAAAATGGTTGTAATTCAAGAATGCTTTGGAATATAGACATATGGTTGGTCTTGTTTTTAAGAAGACATTTGCCAGATTATTGTAGAAGTGAAATAAATTATGAAAGTGAAACATAAAAAAAGTTATATAAGTTTGAGTTTATGAAAATATAGAATGTAAAAATATAATTATTTATATTTTATATAAAATATGTATATTATAAAATATATTTTACTCTAAAACTGCTAGAAAATTAAAGCCAAAAATCTAAACAAGTTGTGTTCCAAATTTTAGGTTGATATCTCAAAAAATGAGCTTTCAGTAAGATTTTATTTGGGCGTAGTACCAAACTTTTTCACTAGATGGACAGCCAGCTTCCTTACTGACCATATAAGGGTGTCTCCATTTTCATATGTTTTGAGTGATCTGAACCATGTCTTTCCATAATTTCACACAATTTATTAAGTATACATCCTATTCAGAAATAGTATGGGTGTTTTGGCAGTATTTGATTTGATTTCAACCTCTAATAAACATAAAAAGAGCACATATGTGCGTATTAGGGTTGAGGGTTCTCGGAGTTCATGTGATCATATGCTGAGTGATGTTGTAACTGGCCGAAGTGGGTGTCAGCTGACTTGATTTCTTCGTCGCCTGACTAGACTACATTATCATTTAGCGCCAGATCACAAGAGTAGACCTCAACCTTTGCGATATAGAGCCACAAGATCTTATTTTTGGAGGGGTTTTTTCTTCTGATAATAGCTTATATAAAGTTGGTGTTTGACAGCTAACTTGCTAGCATGCTAACTGTCTGTTTACCCCGGTTTGCCTATCAGCAGTGTGTTAAAAGTTAGAAAACATACCCAAACAGAGAGCCCAAGAACGACTGCGAGGATTTAACTTTCTTTTCGGCTTCTGCCATGAGGGCCATGGCCTCCTTTTCTTTACCGGAGTTATCCATAAATATTGTTTGCAGTTCAACTTTAGCGGCAGACTATAGAATCCAGCCACATCAACACATCCCTGCGGAAACTTCCAACATGTCCGTCTACTGTTTCATTTCAAAATAAAAGTTAAGTTGGGCTTAGCTATATACATATTTTTTTAACTACCCTAATATAATATTTATTTATTTATTTTCAATACATTTTGAGTACAATTTCATTCAAATGTCATAAATAAGCACATATATTTTTAATATGGTTTTCTAAAAATAAAAAAAAATAAAAATAAAAATGCGCTCTTTGGCACTTAGTGAAAGATTCTTGTAAACTAACAATACGTTTAAAATTATAAACATAACAAATGTGTAAAAAAAAATAATCAATCAAACCAATTTTTTTTTTAAATACAGTCTATGAATGAAAAACTTTAAACAGTGCGGTCTCTGTAAACGTCCACCAGAGGACGCACTCTGATAATGTGAAATGACACTGGCCCACCTAGCATGCAGTTTGCGGGGCATCTTTGTGAGGAATTCCCCATGTAGGCATGGTGACGTATAAACAGACCCCTGTGTGCTGGTCTGTGAGGGAATCCCGGCGTATAGGCGGTGTCCACGACATGAACACATATTGTGAGTGTTTTCTTGCCTGTGTGGTTGCTATGTAGTCAAGACTGCCACGTGTTTGATGACTTTGTTACACTTTTTTTCCCCCTCTTAAAGGGATAGTTCACCCCAAAAAATGTCTGTCATCATTTAGTCTACTCACCCCATATTGTTCCAAACCTGTATGAGTTTCTTTCTCTGTTGAACACAAAAGAAGATATTTTAAAGAATGTTGGTAACAACGGCACAAGTTGAAGGCACCCAATAAAAAAGAAAAGGAAGTCAATGGCTGCCGTCAACTTTCTGGTTACAAACATTCTTTAAAATATCTTCTTTTGTGTTCTACCAAAGAAAGAAACCCATACAGGTTTGGAACAACATAAGGGTGAGTAAATGATGACAACAATTTTGGGTGAATTATCTCTTATACAAAATGTCATAGTTCACATGTGAACACATTCATATGCTTGGTAAGAGGCTTATGGAAAATGGCATGCCATTGTGTCCCAAAGGGAATATTGTTATGTTGACACACTGACTAAAATATGTACTCTCTCTGTTTAATCGACAATATATTTGCATATTTTTTTAACCTCAAATGCTTTAACCACCCGGTTTTGTTTAAGGAATTTGTTAGGAGCTTCAGTATAAGCTGCAGATGATTATAATGATTTGTGTTCACTTGCTCAATTTATGAGATGGATCTCAAATGTCTGCATGTTCACACAGCCTCTGTTACTCTGTCACCACACACACACAGAGAAACTTGCAGGCTTCAGGCCTGAAACCAGCCCTGAAGAAAAGTCCAAATAGGGGGATGTTAACGTCTTCCATAAAGAGACCGCGTCGAAGTCCTGAACTTGGACTTTAGAAAATCTAACGGACCCGAGGAAAAGAGATATTAATAACTCCTTCAAGCCCATCCCACCACATTCTTCACCACTGAGTCACAATGTAAACCAGCTAGCAATGGAGCCAGAGGTGGATTGCCTCTGTTTCTCATTTGTGTATCTTTCCATGGCGAAATTGTGGAAACGGGGAGATACCCTTCCTCTCTTTCTTTATAAACCTGAAGGGTTACACACACGCAATGCTCTCACAGATTGTGGGATTGTATGAGGGAAGAGGAAAAACACAGGCATTGAGCAAGATGTGTGAAAAGTTATAACAGAGTCTCTGGAATGATGCAGAGCTGGAAAGTATAAGCGAAGAGAGGAACGGGTGGTTGTACTAGAGGATGGAAAATGGTGGTATGGGGTTTTGGCTGGGATCTCTGTGACTCACTGTTTATCTGGCCTGTCACCGAGCAACTGTACAGCATATGTGTGCACAAGACTGCAGCCTTTCTGTCTGCTAGTATGCCCCCTTTCCCAAAATTTCAAGATTCATATAAGACTCTTTACACATGCAGAAACCATACCAAACAGGCTTTGAAACGTTTAAGTCTATTTTTTCCCCTATAGCAACGTGTCAGTGAAAAGGAGAAATTGTTAAATGTCAGTCTAAGGAGGTACATTTAAATACTAGCCTATATGAGTTGATTTATTTTCCATTCATTTTATTTTGAGCTTTGCCTGTTTTCATCCCTATTAGTTGGGACAATTTGTTTGTTCTTGTTTTCTACGCATTCAAAAGTTATGCTTTTTCAGTGCAGCTCTTTTTGTAAAAAAAAACTTTTATAAAACAAAACAGATATAAGATACAAAGGGTCTTTATTCAGCTCAATATATTTACTGTGAAAACATTGGTTAACTGAAGCAGTCAGTGGAACCGTTTACAGTAGTCAGAAATAAATCTCCACATTTTTGCTTGTATGACATTGATTTATATATATATATATATATATATATATATCTTGTGACAGTCTTTCATAGTATGCATAGAGCTCATTCAATACAAAAAAGGAAGAAAACAATAAAACTGATCACATATAAAGCATATTTCCTTTTCAATCTTAAAGGCATAGACAGCAACATTCTAGTAAAATGATTTACAAAACAAAAGTCTTTTAACTTGCCTCCTCAGGTCTGCTTTCAAAGCAGTTTCAGAGTTTTGAGTGTTTGCCTCGACTTCACATTCTGATTTAGTTGACTATAACATTAAAAGCCGCACAGAAAAGTGTGTAAAGCCAAGTCTATATATTTCCACACTAAATGATAAAAATGTCTGTTATCTACAAGAGTTAATTTGCTATCCCTCAGGTCAGGAGCCATTATAAGTTCTATGAATTGAGTCATGTGTGAAGCATTTCTGGATGTGAGGTCATATGATTTTAAAATGGCGACAGATGCGACATTCCTTTCAAATGACTGAGACCAGTCTTTGGTTTATCATAATGCTCTTTGGCTTCCAGCTGGGAATCTTTGCATTGTTGCATTTGAACCAAGAATACATAGTAAGACATTAATTGCGAGTTACAAAATGACCAAAGTACAAAATGACACCAAAATACAGTGAATGGAGATGCATTGCAGCAGCTGTGGAGCTGGACAACAAGCGGGAAGTGCGGACAAGGATCAGTTGATCGTAAATGTGCATTGCTGCATTGTCTAAGCATCAGAGCCTTTTTGCCGGCGCTTGGATGGTGGCACGAGACGGGCAGGCAACTCAGGGGGGAGCCCATGACCATCCAGTTTCACTTCAATCAGGTGGCTGGCCAGGGCAAACTCCTCGTCATCCAGCATGCCGTCACGATCCACATCCGAGAGCTTCCAGATGCGGCCCAGCACAGAGTTGGGCAGCCGTGTGCTCACCATCCAATCTTTGGCTTTGATACCACTTAGTTTGCCTTCGTTTGGTGCTAGGTTGTAGAAGATCTCATCATACTTGGGCTTGTCCTTGGTCACTACCCATTCCTCATCTTCCTCACCCACCTCGCCATTTTGAACCTCGGTTTCGCCAAAGGGGTCCCCTTCCATAAAAGGTCCAGCACGGGTTCCCATGAAGGCCCCGCCTTGGACCCCAGGTTGGACCCCAGCGTCTATTTCTTCTTGCCTAAGAAGGGGCATCAGTTTGGCAATGTCATTGGACAACAGCTCATCCAGCATTGCCATCAGGTTGGGCTTAAGGGCTTTAAACTTGGTGAAGTCATGTGCCATTAGTTGCTCCTATACAATAAACACAGAAAGGACAAGTCAAGCAAGACAAGTAGTGTTTTAACCTCAATACAAGAGCCAGGTGGTTACACTAACCTGCATCTTGGTACAATCAGGGAAGTCTCCTGGAGAGATATGATGCTGTAGCTGAATCTTGGAGAAGATGACCGGGAGCTGGTAGATCAGATTCTTCTTTTTATTGTCCTTCCTGAAGACAGATGGCATCTCTTGCTTCAAGTAACTGATGATATGGGCATGTACCTATGAGAAAAGCAGCCCAGGGGACAGAAAAAAACGGAGATATTATTCAGAAAATCTTCTTTTGAAAAAGTCATACAGGTTTGGAATGATATGAGGGTGAGTAAATGCGGACAGAATTTAGATTTTTTTGTTTTGGGGGGTGAACTATCCTTTTAAGAGTTTACATTCGATCATTTACCTTCTGATATCACAGTTCCAGCAAAAAGTCATTAATGATACATTAACATACCCTCACAAGACGAGCCCTCTTGACCAAGTCATTAAGTTTGCGTAGGGCTGAGTTGCGTGGCAGATTCTGGATGTCAGCAAACAGATCTTCCTCCTCCAACTCAAACAGCTTGCGGTTGTCGGACACCATAAGAGGTTCAGACCAGAAGGACCCGATGTACACCCTCAGAACTTCAGGAGTACCAAACACTTTCCCCAGAGACCACATTAAAGCTCCATACACTCGCATGAGCTGCTGAGTATCAATCATATCAGCCTTGTTCAGCACAACACGGAGTTTGTCTTCATTGCCCTTTAGGGCTCCAATTGCCTCTGAGAATTCATCCGAGATCTCCAACTTGTGGGCATCAAAGAGAAGAATGATCCGGTCCACACGCTCAGCAAACCAGCGGAGAACTGCTGGGAAGTCATATCCTACAAAGAGAAAGAAGATGTGGAAGAAAATCATCAAGTTAAATAAAAGAGAAGACTATAACAACAGTAGTGTGCAAGTTTGCGGTGATCAGACCCACCAGCCTTGGTTTGATTCAAAGCAAGAGAGCATTTGAAAATCTGAAAAAAGGTAAAAGACTATGTACTTAAATTATTTTATAAAGGAATGACCTAATCCCATGAAGTATTGCAAATGATAGAAACAAATCAAAGCCAACAGTACAATATACAACTATCGGCTACAAATAAAAAACTGCAATGCATTTGAAGGTTCAGATACAAATACATAAGTAGTTTGAGAGGATTGGAGAAACGATTATGTCATTCAGATTGATTTGGAAGTGGGCGGTCATTGTTCTTGCTTCCATGTAGGGATGGCCCGATACCATTTTTTTTCAAACCGATACGAGTACGAGTATTTACATTTGTGTACTTGCCGATACCGAGTACCGATACCGATATTTCTACCGCAAAAGTAATAG